TCGATTGATCATGCTTGTACTTTTCAGTATGATCGGCCAAACTATTACGTAGCGAATGAGTATCAATTAGAGTAAGATGTATTAACCCTGTCTCGGGTAAGTTGATGAAGGACTGGTAGTAGAATTTTCCCACAATGATATTTGTAGAGCTGACGTTTCCATTTAATTTCACATAGCCTTGCTTTCCCAAAATTTGTTCTAATTCAGGGTGGACTGCAGTTTCTAGCTCGCATAGGTCTTATAAACAACCCCAGTGGGAGTCGAAACCCGACAGGGCAGAATGTGAGCCTGATACGTTAACCACTCGGCCACATTGCCCTCGGGTCACAGGGAAGTTGTGAATTTGAAGGAAGACCAGGCCTTTTGCCATATCACATTCTTTTGTGGGATTGTCGATGAAGCAAACGTATTTTTGCTATAACAATCGACTATCAAACTTATTTTTCGTATATAAGTAGAGTTTCGAGACTACTAGTAAATCAGTAATATGAGATGTATTCACCATATTTCGTGTAAGGTGATGTGATATGGGAAAAGGCCTTGCCTTCCTTGAAATTCACATCTGCCCTGTGACCCAAGTGGACTCGTGACAATGTTGCCAAGTGGTTAACGTGTCAAGCTCACATTCTGCACTGTCACGGTTCGACTCCTGCTGGGAGCGTTGTTAAGACTTATGCGAGGTCGAAACTGTAGTCCACCCTGGATGAGAGCAACTTTTGGGAAAACAAGGCTATGTGAAACTCAATGGAAACCTCAGCTCTACACATATTATTGTGGGAAAATTCTACTACGAGTCCTTCATCACCTTATACGAAATAGAATGAATACATCTCATATCACTGACTTACTGGCAGTCTCGAAACTCTACTTACATACAAAAAATATTAATTAGTAGATTTTATATTAACACTTGTGTCACGCTCACTCGATTAAGTTGATGTAAGCATTGATAATTACATCTAGTATGACTCACGTTTCGGAGCATACTCATTCCAAACATTCTTTTTGCGATGTTGTTATCCATAGATGGTATCATCTCATTTAGAAATAAGAATTAAACATTTGGCTTTTAAACTGAGTTTCTTGGAATTTGATCTTTTATCTACTTGCTCAACTCATCGGATCAATTTTCTACAGTCTCCGTCCTCGTCTTGCCATCCCGACCTATCATTAATGCCGTCTTCGATGTCCTCTGTCCTCAGCACTAGTTCTGCAACTACATCAACTTCTACAGCGTCATCTTTCTCACATAATAACATGTCTGTTCCGGGCATACTGTCAGAGGGTTGCTCGTTAAGGCGATTTCAAGATGACGCTGGGCAAGCTTCCATCTCGCCAGACCGACGCATTGCGCCTATTCGGCTTCGCGGTTCGCCCAATGACCGCCGAGTCGTAACTCCCTCCTCTCCCTCTCCTCTTTCGTCCCCGAGTCACTCGACTTCCTCCGTCATTGGGAATACAACCAATACCCCTATTTCTGCTGCCTTTCCATATATTTACAACAATACTTCGAGTCATACAGCTGAACAACCAACCACTTCGCCAGTTAAGCGTCGTAACCCTGTGGCGACACTTGCCTTTCGTCGTAAAGAGTCATTGCCTCAGCTGCCCTTATCTCGCTTCACTCAGCAGCAATCGCACCAGCATCAAGAACAGCAGAACTGCCAAATTACGCAACAACCATTGAACGTTTTGACAAGAGCTTACATTCAACAGCGACGAATTGCTAGTCCTGAGGATGCAGACACATTTACTTCGCTATCGGTAAACCCATCTATCTAACAGGCTTATTACCTCTATCATATGGCTTTTCTTTCTTTATTTACGACCATCTATTTTCCTCAACTTTTATATCATACAAAGTATTTCTGTTCCAAGGGGATCTCCCTCTACTTCTTATTTACTCATTTCATTTATGTATTCTTTTCCGTTGCTTCTCTTAATGCTATTTTCTGTTTCTTATTTGATCGGACAAGTTTTTGTCCCTAGTCTTATATGTGGTCAATCTTGATTTATTTTTTCAGCATCATCGTCATCATTTGGACTTTA